TCAGAAAACTGTCTACTGCCCGGCAACAGTCACAATTCTCGGCTGGGTATGGAATGAGGGAACCATCCGCGCAAGCCAACACCGTATCTCTACGTTGTCGTCATGTTCTCCACCGGAAAAGATACGCAACCTACGATCATTTATAGGCACATATAAGGTCCTAGCTAGAGTGCTACCAGGCTGTGCTTCTCTTGTTGCTCCACTAGAAGATGCGACTATTGGACAACAATCCCAAGATAAAATTCAATGGTCGGATGAGCTTCGCGATTCCTTTCGTGTTGCTCAGGCAGCATTATCATCAAATCACACGATCACACTCCCCAGACGCCCAGATCAGATATGGATCGTCACTGATGCAGCCATTAAAAAACACAGTGTTGGGTCCACCATGTATGTCTCGCGTGGTGACAAGCTCCACCTCGCAGATTTCTTCAGTGCCAAGCTTCGAGGCCGTCAGGCAACATGGCTTCCATGTGAAATTGAGGCCCTTTCTATTGCCATCGCAACAAGGCACTTTGGGCCATACATCATTCAGTCCCACCATAAACCGTGTATTCTTACCGACAGTAAGCCATGTGTGAAAGCGTACGAAAAACTTTGTCGGGGTGAGTTCTCAGCAAGCCCACGCATAACAACATTCCTCTCTTCTGTTAGTCGTTACCAGGCCAACGTGCGCCACCTGGCGGGCAAGGACAATATTCCATCAGACTTTGCCTGTCAGATATGTTCATTTGTAGAACGTGTGGAAGACTCGGTTGTCATGAACACATCCGTTGAAGACATATCATCAGGAAATAAACGCCTACCATTCACCAATAGGGCAGTGTGGCAAACTATCCAGTTGGAATGCGCTGATTTAAGACGCACACATTCTCATCTCACCCAGGGGACTCGTCCATCTAAAAAGCTAACTAACATCAAAGACGTCAAATGCTACCTCAACATCGTCACTATTGCCAAAGATGGTCTACTTGTAGTCAAGCGTACTGATCCATTCGCTCCACCTCGCGAGTGCATTGTTGTACCTCGACAGGTGTTAGATGGCCTCCTGACAGCAATTCATATTCGTCTCAGTCACCCGTCTTGTTACCAAATGAAGCAGGTCCTCCATCGTTATTTTTTCGCACTGGACATGGACAAGGCAATCCAACCCGTATCCACCTCTTGTCACCAGTGTCCCTCACTTAACAAAGTACCTCACACAATTGTTAAGCAATCAACTTCAGATCCACCAGAATCTGTGGGCAGTTTATATGCAGCAGATGTAATTAAACGTGAAAGACATTAGTCCTAGTCGT